TCAATAATGATGGCGTAACACAGGGTTATCATCACAAGTAAGCCTAGCCTGTACAAATACGACTATACTCCAAAAACTAAAATTCTGCCCAATAAAAGCACTTCATGTAGCAACTTAGATTTGAAACAGAAAACGGCCAAAATGTAATTTATATCCTTCATAAAAGATGTAGGTACATCTCTTAAGCTTGCAAATAATCAAGAATCACCACAAAATATGCTTTGTACAAAAAATTATAATAAAATCACTAACAGTTGAACATACAGGATTTCAATTCCAGAATTTGGACAGAACATGTCATATGTTGCGTCCATTATTTCGTAGCCATAAAAGCTAAATTAGAGTTTACCATAAACCTTAAATTACGAGCACAATTTATTTTAAGCAAGGTTGCAAAAATCACAAAATTTCAACTTCCCAAAATAAGAGTAAAACATATTGTAGTAATTAAGAAATGATGCATCGACATGCAAGAGTTGGTCTAGTATTTTAGGGGTGTTACATACACCATTTTGTTAGGGTTTATAAGGAGTAGTTTACTGTCTGATAATACCCTTTTCAATACATAATTCTTCAAATTATTTTGACAAATATTCACGTCCTCGATCGGTTCTTAATGCCTTTGTGCTTTTATCTAATTGATTTCATTTTGTTTCATATATCTTTTAAAGTACTCAAGTGCTTCAGATTTATGAGAAATCAAATAGACATAACCAAAGCACGTGAAATCATCAATAAATGTAATGAAGTGTGTAGAACCAAACCATGCCTTCACATTCATTGGACCACAAATATCAAAATGGATTAATTGTAGTGGAAAGTCCGCTCTTTTAGCCTTTCGAAATGGTTTATGCGTATTCTTTCCAGCAACACAATTTTCACAAGTTGGCCTATCAATAATGGTGAAAGAACCTAAATGTCCTTCCTTTGTCAACCTATTCATTTAATCTTTCCCTATGTGTCCTAATAGTGCATGTGATGTAATAACATTGATATCATTATCACTTGAATAACATGCCATTACACAACGGTCAACATAGTAATCATAAGTTGAAGGATTATAATCTGAAACGATAAAATGATCCTAACGAAATCCAAAACCATATAAAACATTATCTAGAGTTATTATAACACCACTACGACTAAAAAACAAATCAAAATCAACGTCGAAAAGAACAAATACAACTACTAAGTTTCATCGAATCTCTAGAGCATATAGGACGTCATGCAACATCAAGGAACGACCACCACACAAGTCCACTTTGAAAGTGTCTTTACCTTTGAATTCCACCTTAGAATTATTTCCTACGTAGATCCACCTTGATTTAGATGAAAATCGACAAAACTTCACAAACACTTCTTTATCTCGACTCACGTGGTCGGTGGATACCGAGTCTACAATCCACATAGGATAAGATTCAGTTAGTAAAGAAGTGCTATAAACATTTGTAGAAC